TACAACAATAAAATAAAAAATAGCCAGATTTACAAGTAGTAATTGAAAAATAACCACAGTTTCAAAAGTAATCGAAATTTAGCCACTTTTCATGTAAAGATAAATCTGAACTAAAATATTGTTAAAAATCCGAAAAATATTCCAGAATAATATACTGGAGTTCGAATTTTTTATATGTGAACTTCCAGCATTATATACTGGAGTTCCAGCATAATATGCTGGAGGTTCATACACAAGTGCTCCAATCTCCCGTATATTATGCTGGAACTTTCGGAGTTATTATGCTGGAAATTCATAGCACCAATCTCCAGTATATTATGCTGGAGTTGTCCGTATTGCGGCAAAATAGTGATTATTTTTTCAATAACTTTACAAATGCTGACTATTTTTCAATACCAACCCAAAAACTAGCTAATCCGTGCTATTTTTACCTTTTTCGGCTATCGAATATAAATAGTTTCTGGCGCGGGCAAAAAATAAAAAAGTTCTACATTATTACTAGCAAAGGCCTTAGTTTTATAGCCGGACTTTAAAAAAAGGCCCGTAAGCGTTTAGTGATCGGCCCATCTGAGACCTTATACTCCCGGCCCATTGGAGAGACCTTGTATTCCCATCGTCACACGGCATAGATAGTCATTTTCACGGATGCTATTTAAAAATTATTCAGTATTTATTTTATTCTAAAATTCAAACCAAAAATCTTAACTTTAAGATAATTCAAATATTTTTATCTTGAAAAATTGAATTGAAAAACTAAAATTCAGGACCCACAGACTAATTTCTAAATAGTAGTCTTTTAATATGGCAACCTAGTGTCATTTCTACGACGAACTTTTAGTTTTGGACGATCTAAAATGTTGATATTGTTCTGCTAATAATATTGTTCTAAATAATTTACAGAATTTCGAAGAATTCAAATTCATCAAGCATGTCAACTTGACATTACGGTGTTTTCTCTGTCAAGCTATTTTTCCAACCATTATTTTATAATTTATTCTTTTACTACCACTAACATAATTAAAAGAAATCGAACTATCTTAAACTTTATCCAATCAAATAGTCATATAAAATGAGATTGAGGAGTACTAATTATTCACAAGGTCATGTATGAAGCTACTTCCAATTTTCATCCCTATCCGTTATGTTATTAACGTCTAATTTGTCTGTTAATATTTGTACTTGCCGCAAGACTTTGGGTCAAAATTAGTCGATAATTACGCTGTTCCTTTGAGCTAGGACTGTCCAACAAATGAATCAAGTTATCACAAAATACAAACCTAAGGGCAACAACAGAATGTCTCATCACTCTCATTTTCAATTTTACTTTGTAATATCCACCAAATCATAACTCCACATCACAAGTTATTCAACTGAGAAAGTGACTACCAACAAATGTACAACTAAAATATACCAAATTAATGTTGCAGT